CTGTACGTACACCCTGGGAAGTAAGTTGTCTTCGTTGGGGCAATGGATCCTGTGCCCCAAATACCGATTATTTTCACGAAGTACGGTATTTCGGGGGATACGAATAACTGCTGAATTATACCTGGTAGGGTTTTGGTAGGAAGTGGTAGGAAACAAAAACACCATATACAGGACCGCAGTAAAAAGCACTATTTTGGTCCGCGACTCGAATACATACTTGTACAGTACAGTATACTACCCGGTATACATATTGTACTACTAACATGGGCACCAGTCATCAGCATCACTCTTTGCTTACTTTGTTCGTCGATTTCTCGTTTGACTACAACACATATTGAGGGGATACAAATGTCAAAATAACCGCAAAATTCATCTCATGAATTGAGGTTCAAAGGGTATCAATTTCAATAGTAAACACGTGCAGTAAGGATTTTCAAAAGTAACGTTTTTTGTAGGGCACCAGTCATCGGCACACGTTTTAGACTTGTGTAATGTATTGAATCCTCCACACTTTAGTTCGCCGGATGCTGTCATCATATTAGCTATCAAAGGAATATATATGTGTTTAGAATGGGTATTAACTGCTACAGTAATGATTTCTGTATGATCAACACAAAATTGACTGGTCCAACCTCTAATTTATAAGGTGCACTAATTCTTGAAGAACTATATTTTGACCAATAAGAGGCATTCAGCATTTCTATTGGCTGACAACAGTGCCGATGACTGGTGTCTTTGCCGATGACTGGTGACCTACGTTACGTATTAATAGTACTGTACAGTAGTGTCAAGTGGGACGAGGAAGTAGGTAGCAAGCCACTGAGGAGGGACGACGACGAGAACTTGTGTTGTGATCGAATTAACTGTAAGTCGGACGTCTCATCTGACTCAATTCTGATTGGCTTAAATTTGACCTAATTATCTTACCTTTACTTTTTGCTGCATCATTTGGGCTCAATGTCTGTCAATTCCGACTTCATTGTGCTCCTACTGTACATCCACAATTTTGAGAAATACTGTAATGCGATCGCCCAATAAATACGGGTGCAGAAATACTGTAATGCGATCGCCCGATAAATACTAGTAGGATGTATCTGCGGCAATGCCATAAAAACCCGGATTACAGCAACTTATACGTGTAATGTCTCCCGTCTACGTATTCTAGCCAAGCGCGCAAATGTGACCATCTTCATTCGGGACATACGAAGCTGACGTCCAAGTTCAGTGAAACCATGGCAAGTAGGCCATTACAGTGTCAAATGCAGATATAGCCGTGTCCGAGGTGTAGGGACGACCCAAACCATCGTGCAGTTACCGGTACTGTATAGACGTTTTGGACCTCCTGCACCTCGAACTTCCACTCACACAAGATATTTCCTTGATTCTTGGTCAAGTCCCGCGACTTGATCTTGTACAGCCAGCTAGCTAAGACATTACGGTACCATAGAGCCTGGTACTACTGGAGGTGTGGAGCATCCAGTAGTACCAAGCTCTAATGTACTGTACTGTCATTGCTAGCTGGCGGGTTGCAGGCAAAACTTCATTATGTTGTTCATCTGCCATGGTCAAAGCACTTTTAACCAATCAATGGATACATGACATTCGGTCCGACTTTCTTCTGTCAATATCTCACGTCTGGTTTTGACTTCGCTTTTGTATATAATAAATATTACAACGAACAAGAAAGTCGGACAAACGATCCGACGATCACTTGATTCCTGTATATCCTGTCCGACTTTTTTCCACTGATGCTTCACAGAAAATGAACACCGGATAATTCCGGATTACCGGATATTACCCGTAAGTGACCGAACCTCGACTTCAGAAACTGTCACAAACTTTATTTGTGACAGTGAAATCATCCGGAATTATAATTCAGTCACAATTGTGTCACAAATTTTGTGGAGGCGAAAAATACGTCTCAACAAATTTGTGCCGACATTGTCGTATTTTACCCGGATAACGTTTGCGGATATATGGAATGGTGGCTGAGCTGCAAAAAATGACGCTCTTGATGTGGTGGTGGATGCACATGGATGACGACGACGATATCGACACCTCCCTCACGGATACAATGAGGTTATATCGAGCACAGCTCACAATAAAAGAGAGACACTATCTTACATGTGAATCTCTCACGTCTCCTCTCCACAGCGCATGGATGGCGATATACACAGCCCGGATCCCAAACGCATACATCGCCACCGTCTCAATCGCATTCAACGACTTCGACGACGTTGTTGCGCGAGTTTTCCAAGTACTACCAGATCAAATCCGGATTTGGAAAAGCAGGGAGACCACCCATGCTGCCCTTTAAACACTAAGCGTTAGCCCTGGTGCTGCACTTCTACACCGCTACTTGTGAACCCAAGACCCTCGGCGAAGTGTTTGGCACACCTCCGTCCACGCTGTCCGCTACACTGGCGAAGGCGGAATCAGCGCTTGCAAAAGCACTGCGCTCCCTCCGTGATGCTCAAGTCCGATATTCAAGCAAGCAACTCTAACGCGAATGGGCCATCAAAGTCCGTGCCAGAGAGAGCCTTGTGCGTGGTGTGTGGGGCTTTTTAGATGGCAAGAACTACAAAGTACGCAAGTCCTCATCGGCTGACCTGCAGAATGCGATATACAATGGCTGGTTGCACTGTACCTTCGTTACTGGGACCCTGTTGTTCGGTGTCGACGGGACGATTGTTTGGTGTCGCCACAACTTCGTCGGAAGTTGGAATGATGGTGACACAAGCCTTCGTTTACAGTTCAAGCTGCGTTACCGTAGGTTTACTGAGGATGGCCACGGTGTTGTGGCGGATTCGGCGTTCCCGGTCAGCGGTGGTTTGATCGGCAAAATTCGCACACCGCTGAAGGACGGAGACCTCGAGCGAGCCCCGGCATGTCGCAACGGTTTGTTGCTTATGAGCAACGCCATCACTGCTCTGCGACAAGCCGCAGAATGGGGTATGGGCGCTGTGGAGCAAGTGTATCGACAACTTTTATTGCCATTGCCGTACAACCCTGAGCAGCAACAAATGCGCTTGCACAACATCTTCAAGTTGTACAATTTCCGTGTGCGACGCACTGGCGTTAGTCAAATTCGTAACACAATGAATTAGGCATACATATCCTAAATTGATTTTCAGATTGAAATAGTATTTATCGAAAATCCGAAATGGAGCGTATGTCCTAGGTGTGTTAAATGTTTTGTATACTTATGTGGAGTCCGTATTCCTGATTAGGTTTCAACTAGGCATTTCAAGAAATCTGAACAATCAATCATGTTCGATTAGGTGGTGGGCCCAAAGTAATATGCACGATTTGCACAAGTTGGGTCTATTATAAAGAATTGTGCAAAACAAAATCAACAATAAAAAAGAAAAGTACTCTAAATAGGATAAAACCTACTTTTAAAGCATAGCTACTTCTCAAGGAATTTGGACATTATGGCCACCATGATTTGGTCTATCTTAGCTTGACGCGCTTCGCGTTGGATATCCATTACTTCTTGTCGCTCCAGAGTTTAGCTTCTCGCTCATCACGTTCAGCAGCAAGTTGCATTTGATACTGGCGGTACTCTAGCTCCATCGCTTGTTGTAGCTCTTGCCTGGCTGCTAGAACTTCAAACGTGTGTTGTCGCGCGTCACGCTGCTCAAATACCAAACGACCCTTGATGGCTTCGTTTTCCGCGCTATCAGCCAGGATTTCGTCAATTCGACGACGGCGTTGGGCCTTTTGGCTCATGGTCTGCTCGCTGTTCGCTAACTGACCGATCGTCGCAAGTTCTGTAGGGTCCAAGCCAGTCCGTGGCGTTGCAAAAAGAGTGAAAGGTGAAAGTACCGGTGTCGGGGCTGATAGAGGGTCGGAGCTGCTGTCGCTGTCGTTGTTGACATTGTTTTCATTGTCCTTGTTTTCGTCACCAGATCCCATATCGAGAACGGACATCCGAGCCTCCATGGCGCGATTGATTCGTTTGGTGCATTTTACGTTCTCTGGACAGTCGGGATCGCCGGTTGGTTTCTTGGAGTTGCGGAGGGACTTGAACTTCCGACGCATACTCTCCGTGTCGCGTACAACCCAGCCGTTGTTTTGCTCAATCCGCGAATTATAATCCGCCTGCACAGCATCCCATTGGTTTGTTCCAAGACGTAGGTGCGATTCGATGCAGTCCAACATCGACATCACTTCTGGATTGCTCCATCCCTTCCCTCGTCCTTTCCCTTTCGGCGCCATGTTGAAGGTGCATATGGTTGTGGTAGGTGTCAAGTGACTCCAAAGAAGTTGTGTCCATGAGGAGGTAACTTGAGTAATGACTTATAAAGTAAAGTGTTGTTTTGGCCATTGATGGATGGGCCGAGAAGGCAGACGGATTGTGATGATAGAATCGTCGGAAGGGAGTAGCAGTGCGGTCAAAGACCGGACTGGTCAATGAGAATGTCGAGAAGATATCTCGAATTGGTTGCACAGAAAGTGCTGTGATGGATCGAGACGACGGAGGTTCGGTAGAAACAGGGGGCGACGAAGCCAAAGGCTTGTCATAGAGGAAGGCACTAGGCCAGTTGGAAATGATGGAGTGTAGTGGCGGCAATGGTGCGTTGGGCTCCAAGGTCAGGATGAAGTTGGGGTAGATTTTTGGCGATACGCCGCAGCAGCAGCAACAGAATTGATGGCTGGGAATTCGGACTCCCAGAAGGTGATGTCACGAGAGGAAATCAATAAATCAGAGTGCAAATGCATGAGGGTATAACCTTTTTGATTATGCGGGAGACCCACAAACATGGCCTTGACGGCACAGGGATCGAGCTTGGATGATTGCACGGCACGTTGAATGTACACGAGCGCATGGACGAATATCGTCGGCTTGGTCACGGGACGGTATGCCCACGGCCAAAGAAAGAGGGTCATAGCCAAGGACTGGAAGTTGGGCGCCGTTCCCGACTGTACGAGACAGTGCGCAAGGAACGTAATCGGAGAAATAATCTCGGTTGGGGGTGCATGAGGCAGAGGCGCTGGAGTCAACATTCCAATGTTCTCGCAGAGCGGGAAAATCGTTTGGACGATAAGTCACTGACAAAGGTAGGGATGGGTGACCGGGGTCGCTTTCACATTAGCGTAGGTCCGTATGAAGGACAAAAATGCCTTGTCCACCAACAACTTGGAATGGGGGATGGGGACGACACCGTCCATACATCTTGGGGGCAATTGGAGAACCACCTTGATCGGTGTTTCCGACGCTGCTGTAATAATATCGCTGCGAGTGGCCGAGAAGGCACTGGGTGGGAACAGTGGAAGATCTACTTTGGTTGGGTTCGTGGGAATTTGGAACAATGGACGTGGTGGGTAGAGGGTCAAACGCTCCGTAATAAGTACCTCGGCAGAATTCAGCGAAGTCTAAGACCGGAATCCACAGGAGATGGAAAGTGGTCGGGGAGATCGCCCGGTGCTTCAGTGCTGGGAGCAAGGGTAGTAGCCACAATAAGCGGAGATTCATGGGGTGGTAATGCAAATACATCGCAGCGTGGGGCATAGCCCAGTTGGAATACCTTTGGTTGAACCGATGGTGTGCTGGGACGCTGGAGGACACGTTGAGGGTAGAGGGAGGCATAAAGTGGTGGGATAGGATGTGGGTGTTGGCAAATCTATTGAGGCGATTGCCTTCATGAATTAATGGTCGAGAAGCTGCACGAACAGCAATGCCAGCCTGGTCATTACGACCTCCACGATGAGTGTGGCCGCAGCCTTAGTCGCGTTGGTGGTCGCTGCTGCAGTCGCGGTCACGATTGTTGTCAGGGCTGTTGACCCGATTGTTCGTCCACCCACCATTTCCAGGACCACTAGAGGAACTTGGTCCCCATCCATGGTAGCCATTAGAGCCCTGGTTGCCCCTATCCATTCGCGATTATCGCGGTCATCACGAGGAGGTTGAATAGGACGCGACGGAGCGACATAATCGCGTTTACGCTTCTTTTGGGAGGCAGATCCATGTTTGTCAAAGACGGCGCGGTCAAAACCAGAACACATAGTGTTCTGGTTTTGAGTCCGACTTGAGAGTAGGGCGCGCTGGAAGCGTATGATTGGCAACACCGCAGTAGAAGCAGGACATGCCGGGGTGATTGACACAATCACGATGAGCATAGCTCGGGATGGTATACGCGGTTCATAACATGAACAGAGCCACCCGCTTGCATAATCGCTTAGGGTTGTGGCGCAGGGACCGCAACGGCATGCACGACTGCTGCAAGCTTGGTTCGTATTTGAAAGGTAGCGGCAGAGCCGTTGTCACCCAGAGCAGACGCTCGTTGAAGGCGGTTCGTAATAATGCGCAAGGAGCTGGCTGGGCTCGTCGTGGTCGCAAGCACCTCGTCACGGATTTGCATGCCTTTGACACGGATGGATGGTCGGCCCACTTACAGATGGATGGTCGGCCCACTTACAATGGGGACGCTCCATTCCTCGCATTTCCGAATACATTTAATTAGTTTGGCTTCTAGCTTTGGTGTGCGGGGTTGCTGCTTGGATTTATGTGTTGGGTGAATGCCCTCGACGTCCACCATGGAGTTGAGCCACGCTGGCATGGTTGACTTAACCCATTGGCGCAACTCAATCCCTTTGACATGCAGTATTCCACTTGAGCCTTCTTCTGCTCAATTGTCAGCCGGATCCTCGACGCTGGTGACGGCATTTGTTCGTCAGGTGGTTTGTGTCTGTTTTGAATTTTGAAACGCCTCTACAATTTTATTGCTGATTACCTCAAAGATGTTATTAGGTTTTGTGGGATATAATGTTTTAGTGGGTTCACTATTGCGGGGGAGTACTGTATACGATTCACATTGATGTAAATCGTAGATTTTGATTCAGGCTACATTTCTAGACTTTTCAACTGAAAATATTTGATAGGAAAGTACAGTAGACCACTCAATGTGTGGAGCTGTATATCGTGAGCTCAAATAAGAATTTGAATGGGAAACTTGTGTCTAACTGTAAGTTAACAGAAAGGATAGCTATTTATACCACTGGTTTTACTCGTCTCGCAACCGTGAACAGCGTTCAGTATTTGCGAACAAATAACGTTATGTGGTGGTGAGGCACCAGCCCGTTTTCCTGCGATTTATCATAACGTTACTCATATAATATGATGAGACATGCTCATAATTTAATCAAGTCAAAAGAGGTACATTTGACAAGCAATGTGATCATTCTTGTTGGACAGAGTAGTACTACATTGTACTACAGTACTACGTAGAATACTAGTACTTCACTGTCAGTACTATTGTAGGGGCCTTTTGGGAGAGTACACCACTTCGTCATGTCACAACTCAGCAAAATGACATCCAATTTTTGAGAAAAAGGAAAATAGAAAACCTGAGATGAAACGTAAAAACTTCTTCCTTGACATGCAGTTCGAAAACGAAGCAAAACTGGGTTAAAATGAGTATTGAAATCAAGTGTTTTTTTTTCAACTTCAGTGTACGGGGTAGGGTAAAATTCGCTTGGTTTTATTGGCTGATATTCAGTGGATGACGTCAAAAGATATTGACACTTATAAATTCAAAGAGTAAAACATAAAAAAAACTCAAATATGTTTTATTCACTATCACAGGACTCACGAAGCAAGTCAGAATCTGCGTCGCTGGCCTCGTCGCCCAGCAGCGCATCCTCAGCAGTCGAGAAGTACATGTCCTCGAACGATTGTGCTTTTCGGTACGCACCCAGCCAATGTGATGACTCTATGCTACTGAACTCTACCTCTAGGCGCGTGCGCAACTCTCCCATGTCTTTCGATGGGCGCACGCCGATGCGGTTCTTGACGACGCCCCATACAACTTCGATGGGGTGCAGCTCGGGATGATACGGTGGCGTGAAAAGCAAGGTATGGCCACATTCTGTAGCCAATACCAGCGTAGCATACGATGGTGCCTCGCGGTGTTGTCGGCAGAGGTCAAGCAACTCTGCCTTCGTGATCTTCGCGTCGTACGACACAGCGCGTGCAGCGAGCCAAGCCATCAGAGTCGCCTTGGGGTCCTTGCTGGTAGGTGGTGGGTTCAAAACCCGCTTGTGATACTTTGCTCCGTCCATGTGAATAACGCATGGTCCATGCAGGGCCTGCAGCGTCCGACAAACACCACCGAACCAGCGCTCGAACATGTCGCTGTTGAAGTTGCCATGGTAATCGTCGCCATCATCGACGCTGTCAACCTGACCTTTTCGTTTTCGCTTAGGTCGCTGTTGAGATGGTCACATGACAAGCGACCCGTCGACCCACTCGCCCACGACAAGGCCACGGGAAGCAGTTCGAACGATGCCAGCGCCCACGATGCACATTCTTGGTCCTTTTCCAGATTTGGTAAGCCTCTTCTATGTTTCGTCCACTCATGTCTTTCCTGGCGAATGATTTAGATTGCAAAACGACTCGTCCAAGTAGACCTCCGGGAGCAATGGGGCTCCAGCGTCAGACCGATTCGCAAGCATCTTGCGCAGGTACGTCGTTCGGAACGCGACGTTGTGGGTCGACTCTGCCAGGTAAAAACTTGTTTGACCTTACTGATAGGCAAACCCCATGCGACGCAAGACCCGGCGCATCGTTCGTACAGCAACAGTGACGTCGTACAGTTTATGGAGGTCGTTGCACAAGGTTCTGGCGGACACCGGTAGGCACTGAGAGTTTGCTTCCTTGATTAACTGTCTTATTTCAGTGGCGAAAGACTTGGCAGGTGATCGCGGTCGGTGGCCACGCTGCGTGCTTGCTTGTGTGAACGACGGGTCCTGATTGTGGTTCCACTCGGCAATCACTCTGGCGACGGTTGACTCGGCGAATCCCAAGCACTGCGCGACGCATGAACGTACTCGTGGTGGTTTAGTTGGTGTCGGAGTGGCCTTGTTTGCTTTAAAGTACTCGTGGCACTTAACGATAAGGCGCTTTTCAGCTGCCGATAGTTGATGTCTTTTTTCCATAACTTCTCTGAAAGTGATGCTCAATTTGTCGTTTCATGTGCTAAGTAAAGAGGAGAACAAGAGCTTCTCGCCAATCATTTCGAATTACCCAATTTCGAACATTGAAATATTTATATTACAAATTTATGCACGGTGTACCTTCCCAAAAGGCCCCTACAAATAGTACATGATATAAAAATCGGCACATCAATTGACTTCGTCACTGAACAAGAGGTCTAGTGTAAAGTACTACGTAGTATGTACTCAACTTCAAAAAACTTATTTGTGCAATCCTGAACTGTTTAACAGTAAATCGATATACTGTGGGCTCATTCGAAAGAGCTTAAAGTTATCCATTCAAAAATGTAGTACCAGCCTCCTATTATAGGTAGAATGTATCCAGGGAGGATTCGAAAAAACAACTGAAATATTCGATGAAAATGAAGAAAAATCGGCACATCAATGGTACTCATAATATGCATCTGGTGAGACATTCTCATAACTTAATCAAGTCAAACGAGAGACATTTGAATGTGACCATTCTTCTTGGACAGGGTACGTAGTAGTATTAATACTAAAGTACATGAATATAGGTAGTACTAGTACTATGGTACTCCACGTTAATCAGCAATAAGTTATTACTCGTTAGTCGTTCTACGATTCGCTGACTAAGCGAGCAATGAGTACATTGCCCCACGCGTTGAGCATCGTCGCCACAGGGTCTATGATGCATTCGGCAATCAGCATAAAGTTGATGGCATACGGTGGGGCAAGCCCTGTCAACATCGCACAGGCGCAGATGACCACGACAACGCCTCCGTTACGCACGGGAGTGACTACCAAAGACCCAAAAGTGGCCAGCACCACGAGCAACGCCACCTTGGTTGCAGAGAAACGGTCTTGCAAACCACCGTTGGAAAACAAAAATATCACGGACATGGCCACATACAGGGCCCCACCGTTCTTGTTCATCGTGGCCCCGGCGCCAATGGCAAACCTCGTAGAGGCAGACGGCTGGCCCACCACGCGTTCGAGGGTTCGAAGCAGCACACTGATACTTCTCCGGGACGACGACGAATGGATGGCATAGCCCAAAGCGCCTCGCATCTGCCACATAAAACGCAGGGGCGAGAGGCGACCGCGCGACCCGATGTACGTGACGACCGGCAGCACGACCACAGCATGCACCAAGGACACCCCCACAAACGCCAAGATGTACCACAACAGCCCCACGACACCATTCGTCGCCTTGTCTGAATCAAACACGTTGTGCGTACCAGCGTAGATGGACCCCGCCACGAGCGAGATGAGGGCCAGGGGGGTGGTCATGGCAATCCACGACGTCATGATTTCGAAGACGGCGACGAGCTCCCGCAGCACAGGCACGATCGAGTGGTTAAGAGTCGGGTTGGATTTGAACCCGGTCACGTACTTGCCGATGGCGACACCGGTCGCCACCGCGCCAAGGGCCACGGCCATGATATTGGTGTTGGTAGTCTCGATGTAGTTGGTGGGAGTGAGGTTCAAGAGCACGCTTGAGATTTCGTCGATTGTGGACTTGTAAACCACAAATCGATTCACGGTTGGTCCGATGAGATACGGCAGGCGTCTCGAATCGCCAAATGAAAACACGGTTTGGTTGGTCCGACTGCACACCATCGAGTTGTTCGCCTTTGGGTCTAGAAACAGACTTGTTCGTGTGGGAGTGGGGCACTGAAAGGCCACGTTGGGGCTGCGAAAGTAGTACGGGGTGCCGTCGAAGGTTGGAGCCACCAACGAGCCAATGTACACGCCTTGAAGCGCGACCATGAACGACGTCAGCATCGACAGCAAGCTGACCCGCAAGCCTAGCTTCGTAACGCCCGTCCGTGATGACGACGCGATTTCAGCAGCGACCAGCACCAAGCTTAGAAACGCAAACGGAATCGCCACGCACGTGAGCGCTCGAAGGTACATTCTGCCTGGCTGGAGTAGGTAGCGCTCGATGGGCTTGTTGTTGCGGGCGTCGTATGCTCGCAATGCTGGATACACGGAGTCTAGCGTGACTAAGTAGCCAAGAAACAGTCCCAGGCCTGCTCCCAGCAACGTGCCTGGCGCTCCCGTGTATAAATTGATCAGCGTGGCCTTGGTTTCACTGTACCTTTTGCCGCCCTGAAAGCTGTTTGTCGGAAGCATGTCCCGGGATGACGACGACGGAATGTGGGAGTATTGGGAGGATCCATTCGGCAACTCCATCACAGACACATCAGCACCGGACGAAGGTTGCGACAAACTGCGCTGGGGACGCATCGAAGTGAATTGTAAATGATTCCGCAAACCAATGGGTTCGCCAAATTATAGTGCCAACGTGTCCCAAGTGTGTAAATCTTGGGCTAATAATGCGGCCATCGACACCCAATCAAGCACCCCACTGTATAGCCGAGGAATTCCGTTATTCCGGCACCCATTCGTTGACATCGCGAACTATGTTTACGTAAAATACTCATAAAGAATTGGACGCATGCAATTAAGGAATTGCTCCTGATTTTACGATAATCTACACAGCCCCCATACAGTACAGTATGAGTACAGTATGAGTACTGTAGAGTAAACTATCCAGCCATCTGGAGCCGCTTCGATCGACGAATTCCTCTATACTTCTAGGGATTGTTTCTCTACCTTGAAGTACTGTACACTTCATACCACTGTGTATTTTGGCTTTACTGTTAACGTTAGTCGAAGCACATTTCTACCCCAGAACCCTGTAGCTCGACACACATAGGCTAATTCGCCTGGTTAGATTGGTAAGATAGCTTTGCAGTAACCGCTCTCAAGGCGCATCTCCCCTACGGACAAGAGTGTGTGTGTGTGTGATCAACGAACCGTGTTATTCGAAGTACTGTCTAACCGTGTTATACGAAGTACTGTCTACCAGTAGTCTGTCAGCGTTTTATTGTAAGTTAGTACTAACATTTGTAGAGTGTATCGAAGTACTTAAATATGACTTCTGATTGGCTAAAACGTGTTTTTTTCCGGATAACCTCAAAAGCGCAGGGAGTTGAAGCAGGGATGATTCATCCCTGCTTTAGTTTCCGTTCCCACGTTTTCGATTGAAATTAAGCAATATTTTTGATATATTTTCAAAATCCTCGAAAATAGTTCGGATAAAATCCCTGCCTTAAAGCTTGGACGGTATTGCACAGACCAGCCCCTATCTACCCGTAGTTCGGACACTCGTGTGCGTTGAAAACACAGTAACTCCCCTGGGAAACTTGCTCTTGTTATGTCTTAGTCAAATGCAGTGTCAAACAAAACCACACGTTCTAGATAAGGGTTAAGTGCATTTCAGTGGTTAGCGATACAGTAGATTACCATTGGTGATGCTTAAACGCCGGGAATACCACACAAGGGTCTGGGGGCTCCTAGGCTACAGCGCTACTGGTTCTTTTGACCGGAAATGATTGTGTAAGCAACAGTGGAACAGTTGCTCTCAGGGAATTATTATTGAAAATAATCACGATCGTACACATTTGTATGGTGCATGTCATCTAAAAACTTCCATGTGGCCAAATCGAAGAGTGGAGGTTGTATATTATTGTCAAGTCGATTCGAAATTGGAGTGGGGGCTCAATCGAATGAGCAGCACCAAATCGGCAGACATTCGATCGACCAATCAAAACCCAGATCACTAATGAAGTAGCCAATGAAATCCACTCAACGACCAAATCATCTACGAAATAGTGTGTGAAACCATTTTTACATGCAAAAGTCAGTACAAAGAATAGTCTTGGCGAATCAGCAGAAAAGTCCAAATTTTGGGTAAAAGGACAGTATTTAACGTACAATAAATGTATTAATAGTTAAACCCATGGTAAAGGAAGAAAGATTCACATGATAAAAAATGCAATGACTTTATTGAATGGTATGCAGGAGTTTCATCCACGAACAATCAACCAATCAAATGTACGCAAGTCGAACTGTAGCTATTCCATTAGTGCAAATTCGTCCAATCAGTTGTCTAAAAACTATACGAGAATTACGAATATAAGTGACAAAAATGTTGCTTCTTCTGGGAGTCGAACCTGAAACACCAGTCTCGCAAGCGGGTGCTTTAAATACTGCACCGCAGAAAGTGTACATTACATACCCAAGTAGAATCATTTGAGTACATATTTGTTCATCTAGTACTGCCACCAATATACTAGCACGTCATCTAAAAATTTCCAACTGGCCAAATCGAAGAGTGGAGGTTTTATTATTTAACGAACAATTAATGTAGTTAAACCCAAAAACCAAATACGTTAAATACCGATTTCGTGCGTTTTATCACTACAGTGGGAGGTTAAAGGTCCCAATACCCTTCGGATATTATATTCGGATAAGAGTCACATCCAAAATCAAGATACAGCCACCCCTATGGCCAAATATCCAAGCGCCCATGTAAATTACCGCTAGGTTAAATATCTACTAGTATTTCTGGACCAATTCATCACCAAATTTGAATCTGAGATGTAGAATTTCTTCACATTGAGATCTGTCGATTCTACGTCTCAATTTGCTGAAAATTTGAGTAATGAATATGAAATAGAAGTCAGAAAATTTTATAAAGTTGGTTGTTTATAGGTGATGTGCACCATTCTATTATACGAAGTATAATCGTAGTATAAATGTATGGATATCTTCGAAGTTACAGGCAATTGGTAATACGACCTCTGTAATGTAACTATTGCGAGCAGGAACAGTTTGGCGGCTTCCTGAACTCGGGTTGGCAAATGGATTGGTGATACTTGTTCTTATTGGTCAGATGAGTCTACCACCATTCTTTTACGAATTATATTTCACTTTTGTGAACGTAACGGCGACAATTCAATACAAAATCCAAGTTGATAACTGCAGATATTTTTATTGTGAATTTGTATACGAGGTTTTCATATTATATTTACGTTAACGTACTCCGGAGTACTAGCGAGTACAAATTGTATGCATGTTTGTAGTGTTAACGTTAGTCTAATCATTGCAAAACCCACACTTTTTAACCCGTAATCCCGAAACACCAACCTCTCTCAAATGACCACAATTAAGCCTATTCCCAGGGTTAAGTTGAATCCCCAGTGGTTAGGTATCGCTAACCACAGTCAATCAACTTAACCCTTAGCAAGATTTCGTGATGCTTGAAGCCAATGAATGGCGTTAGCTCGTGAATGTTTGTACCTACACCTGTAGTTCAGAGGTGTAAAATACTATTAATAGTAATTGCATGGTTCATTCAATCGAGCACAAATAGAGCCGAGACATCTGATTGGCCATTATCCACTTCGCCATTTCCAGTATAAACTCGAAAATGGATTGTAGCCAATCAGCGACAAGTAATTTCGGATTGACCAATGGGAGAGATTGGTGCTCGATTCGCTCGGCGAGATTCGATTGAAGGGGGTCTGGAAATTCATACCGAATCTCCAATACCTAATACAGGAATGGTGTTCTTAGGCCGTGTTCGGACGCACCAAGAATCCGGTTATTTCGTGGATTCAGACTCTAGAATCCGATTTTTTGTGTTCGATTGACAAAAATAAAAACCGGATTCTTGTCCGAGAATCCGGATTCTGGAAACCATCGATTTTGATGGTTTCTTGGAGGGATTGATTGGAATTCTGCTTTTCAGAAAAAAATGTACTACCTCCGATTGGAAATGATTGATGGTTTCACTTTGTTGAGCCTAACAACTGTATCTCAGTCAAAATAGGTTATTGCCTTGACAATGGGTATACTTCCAGGTATAGAATTTCACTAGAAATCTCATTTTAATGATTAGACAGTCCTACAATACCTGTACAATATAATAATCATTGTACGTACTAAGGGGTAACCGGTAAACCTATCAATCATTTCCTACAGTATTAATATACTCGGAGTTTGGGGTTTCCGGGGTTTCGGGGTGTTTAATCTATTCTCCGAGTACTGACAATAATGGAAGGACCGTCGAAGTCGTGACCACATGTGGCCAAGTTGTCCATCGCATAGTCCTTCTTCGCCAAGTATTTAATCAGTTAAGAAAGTTATGACCGTACTCATCTTCGTAGGAGATGAATTATATTCCTCCAGAACAGAATAGGCTCCGCACTCGCTGGGGCAAAAACTGATGTGTATGCAACTGACAAAAGCTACGTTAACTTAGATACACGCAGTTACATGTATCTCATCCTTGTGCAAGCCAGTACCAAGTTACTTGTATCTCATTATTGCATAACTCAATGTGTTCGTCAAAACCCCCTACAGGTACGCGGTCACTGCAACATCCAATGAACCATAAGTTATGAAGCGGATATCTTGCCCTCCAGTAAAGTTATATGATATGTAATGACATGTACATCTTCGTCTATGATCACCCTACAATCGCGCACTAAGCTTGCAGCAGAACACGTCGTATTCTGTAAACCCGGCGCGATCGCCGCCAAGAAAGCGTCGACATGGCCTATTAGAGCAGAGTCCATTTTTTGGTCGTCCATCCGGGGGAGTACAGCGGCTATGTACCTCCATCTGTTGGATGAGACAGGCAAGAGTGACGTAATCATTGAAGATGCAACGAGACCAAGCACATGTTGTTCGGATTCGTTACCTCTTGGAGGCAGAGAGTGAATACTACAGTACCACCGTGAAGGATACACAGTAGCAGTATTGTCCTTTTACCCAAAATTTGGACTTTTGTGCTGATTCGCCAAATCTATCCATGGTTCTCTATACTGACTTTTGTATGTAAAAATGGTCAAGTGTCACACTAATCTCATTCACACACTAATTCGATATTGAATTGGTCGAAGAGTGGATTTGATTGGCTACGTTTTGAGTGTTCTGAGTTTTGATTGGTCGATCGATTGTCTGCCGATTTGGGCTGCCCTCATAATCTTGACAATACTTATAATTCGAAGTACCAGGTAATAACTAGTACTAGTACTAGAAAATAGTAGTATTAATAGTACAGTGTGGTTCTGTAGTGCAAAACGATATGACGAACAACATAATTCATACTGGACGTGACACAATCGATATAAAGGTTTGCATGGTTGGCCCGGCTTAAAGATGGAACTGTGGAGATGCATGTCGGCAAGGTGTGGGGCATATGGATAGCTATTTGGGGTGGGGGTTACCCGAGGTTGGCGGTGCATGCGGACGGGATGTGAACCCGTGGCAGCCTTCTACGGTCCACACCATGTACACATGCACCGCCAACGACACGTCCAGGCAACCTTCACGTTTGATGGTTATTTGACAAAGTCCCTCAACTCGTCTACATGCTTCACGTTCCTTGGATTAGATGAATGTTCCCACCTACACGACCTTCCTCGGCATGTGAGGCCAGGGCGGTCGCTACGCATTTCGTTCGGGTAAG